AAACTATATACATAAATGCAAGTGTAAAAGGCCATTAAGGCCAGCTGCAGGTGCTGCTCCTGCTGGGCCAGATCTGCACTGTGCATCTCCCTCAGGACTGTGAGGTGCTCCTCTCCTCGTTTCCTCTTGCCTGGATCAGGGGTTCCCAACCTTTATTGTGCCAAGGACCGGTAGATACATTAAAAAAAAAATTGCGGACCGGTTGTCAATTTTAACTGATTTTAATATTTACTCACCACCAGCAGGTAGCAACAGAGGCTAATTGTATGTAACAGCCTGAACAAATACTAGAACAATATGCATCCAAAACATATTAACAAAGTTTAAAAAAGAACCGGTGTTGTTTTTTGGTTTTTCGGAAAACCAAAAAACCGACGTTATTCAGTTTTTAAACCTATACGGGAAAACAGATAAATCAACGTTTTGGTTTTGTTTGTATGATTTACGGATAATCAGTGAATGCTGGGAAAACGAGGAGAAGGCGCATTATGAAGGAGGTGTGTGTGTGTGTGTGTGTGTGTGTGTGTGTGTGTGTGTGTGTGTGTGTGTGTGTGTGTGTGTGTGTGTGTGTGTGTGTGTGTGTGTGTGTGTGTGTGTGACACTGGCATTTGTTTTCAGAAGATATTATGATAGTGTCGTTCGTTCCGGTGCACTCCGACAGCATTTAGCACGACATCGAGATTAAGATTAAACTAATTTATTTTGGGAACAGCCGCATATATGCCGGTGTCGGACAGACACAAACACACCGAACACACAGAGCTGAGCTGAGCAGAGCACATACACACACACATCATGCGCCTTGGTGACTGACTGGACATCTCCTTCATAAAACTAATAAAAGGGGGAGTAATCGGGCAGTTCGATGTGTGTAGATGTGTGTGGTTAACACGTAGCGGTCAGAAAGAGGTGTCAACCATCAAAATCGAGCAACGGGGGCCAGAGATATGGAAAAAAAAACATTTTCACCCTAATCACCTCAGAGGTGGGGTGGTTTTGGCTAAACCTCTCTAAAAAGGTCAAATGTCACTTGTTTTGCATTAATCTTGATACAGGGTACTTATTATATGTTGTACTTTGGATTCCTAAAGCTTTTAGTCTACTAACCCAACTAACTAATTTTTGGACGGACACTATAATTTACAGTTTTTTACTATGTAAAATCTGAATTTTCTTTAAAATAAAAAACATCTATATTGATTCTGACACTTCTACATCCAACTCACAGATGTAACCTTGCTTTGATAAAAGAAATTATTCATATAACCCTTTTAGAAGTTAACTTGTAGTCATTTGTTTTGGGCATGTCATTTTCGAGCCTGAAACATGAAAAACAGGCTTGGTGCTTAACAGGTTAAAGGCAATGTACCATTCCCATTGGATAACGGAGAATTTTTCACCCAAAAACACCAGATTATACCTGTTAATTACACAACATTGATTGGTTTAAATTGTGTACAATGCGTTTGTGTTTTTCCCCTTCGATTCTGAGAAACAAATTTTTAGTTTAGGATGACCGAAGACACTACACTACCCATAATCATCAGCTATCCTTTGGGACGACACCAGTCCGCTTTGCTTGAAAAACCCCGTGATTAATCCTCAAGCTCTGTGATTGGATGTTGGAGTGGCAGTGCGCCAATGTTACGCAGAGTGTCAATCCAGGATTCGAACAAGTCCACCCCCACCCCCCAGAACTAAACATGCTGGCTATTTGTGTGTTTCGCAACATGTTCTATGGCGCGTCTCTACTGGGAATTGTAGTTTTATAAGATGTTTTCGTATTTCCCATATTTAGAAGTTGCCAGTATTAAACTGTTTACACCCCTGGAGGTTTAGGGGATGGGAAACACTTTGATGTTATCACATTTTAAAAATATAATCCATAAATTGGTGAAAATTCCTGTGTCCATAATGGACAGCATTCATATACCCACATGACAGCTCAGGTTAGAAGAGTTTTATTTAATAGCTGGTCTTATGTCTGTGACCCCTCCTGTTGTTAATTGATAAGCCTTGAAACATGCACTTGTCAAGGTTCAGAGGCACATTTTGCAAATATGGCAGTAGCCATCCATCATCCCAAGTTGGGAAATGTTTTTGTTACAGCAGCATGTAAAACATGCAATTTATTGTTACTTTGTAATTCTACTCAAGGTTCAAGGCTTTTATTAGTCATACGTACATAGCTACAGTGTAGTTATAACGATGAAAATCTTATGTTGGAGGTCACAGGCTCCTCCAACAGAGTAACACAATAAAACAGAAAAACAGAAAAAATAGTGCAAGTAAATACAAACAAAAAAGATAAGGCTGAGTGAGTGTGTGTGCGGAGATCCGCGGAGCCGCGGCTGAGAAAAGATAAGGCTGAGTGAGAGTGTGTGTGTGAGGAGCTCCAAATGGACCAATCCGTGGAGCCGTTACGTCACTATGACCAGGAAGAAAAAAATGGAAAAAGAAAAATCTCCAACGAGGCGTTCTGGGGCAGCATAGACAGGTATTTTCTGTGTTAGAGTTTTACTCGCTACAGGGTGTACTTTGATGGTTTGTGACTTTGCAGACCATTTACATGCATAACAAGCTACATAACACACAAGGGGACGGGTAATAACCGGAAAAGCATGTCATGGGACCTTTAAAATATTGTCTGATCTACACCTAAGTTACAATAATCAACAAAGACAACCTGTTTTAGCTAATAGACCAATTATTGTTTTGTTCTTTTCCATATTGAAAACATCATTCAAACACTCACAGTGTAGGTTGGAAAAAGTATGTGAACCCCTAGACATTAGCTAATTGAAAATCTTGTTTTAATCAGTGAAACAAGATTGGAGATGTTGTTCGAGCTACTTTGACTTATACATATTTGTAAAACATTAACCATTTTGGGTTTGCTATACACTAGAAGCATGTGCTGATGTAAACCATGCCCCACAACAAAATATCCCAGAAGACCTTCGAACAAGAATTGTTGATTTGCATAAAGATGGAAAGAGTTACAAAGTAATATTGATGTTATTGGGAAAGAATGCGCAGCATTGCATTATGCCATGGTGTAAAAAGGGCACTGCAGACAATCATGTCAACATCATCCCAAAGTTTGCTGATTCGGGGCCTGGACAGTTTGCCCTAATCAAAAGAAAAAATGAATTCTTAAGTTTATCAAGATATCCTGCAGGATAATGTCAGAATGGATGTCTGCATGCTAAAGCTCATCTGAGGTTGGGTGGTGCAGAAGGACAATGACCTTAAAAATCGAAGTAAATGTAATATAGAATGGCTTAGTACAGAGAAGACCTGCCTTTTGGAGTGGTCCAGTCAGAGCCTAGACCTTATCCCAACAGAGATGCAGTGGAATGACCTCAAGAGAGCCGCTCAAACCAGATATCCTGAGAATATGGCTGAACTGAAGCAGTTCTGTGAGATCCAAAGGTCCAAAGATTCTCCTGAACGTTGTGCAGGTGCTACTGGAGTGTTTGTTTGAGGTTATTGCTGCCAAAAGATGTTTTTATTTTGGCAGCAATAATTTTTCCTGCCACGTATGTGATTTTCTCATCAGTATTTAAGTGAGCATGACCTTGTTGCATACAAATTACCTCTGTGCAGCTCAGTTATACTCTAATCATATTAATCTAAACTCAGTGTGACTTCATATGTACACCCAAGAACTCTTTTGTATTCACTGAGAATTGGACATTTTAAGCTTATATAATAATCCATTTATAATGCAAAAGTTTAATAAAAAGTAAAAAAGGGATATCATTGTAATTTTCTCTGGCAGTCCTTTGGGAGTGATTATACCGCAGCTGACATCGACTGCGAGCAACCTTTTGTTTTGTATGCTCAAAAGGATTAGTTGTAAGGGCCAATATGTACAATACTTCTGACAGTATGTTGACGGATTATTTTTAACAATGACGGAAAACCCTGAAAGCAGTCTGTTATTTTGACAGAATAGAATAAACTCGGAACAGCGACAAAGTTACCCCGCAGCGAGGCTCCGGCGCAAACAGTTCACGAGCGTGCTCTCTGTTTTATCCACAACTTTTTAGAAAATTGAAAAAAGAGAAAGGATATAATGTTGGTTGTCTCTGTTCATCTTCCATGTTTACTGGCAGACTGGAGACAAGTCATTTGTAAAATGGAGTATTCAAATAAAACTGTAACATAGAGAAAAGAAAAGGCCTATATCAGTCAGCTGAATTATCAATCAGTAATGATAGCCACATCGGACCATGATGAAGGATAATGGTCAAACAATAAAGTTGTTCTATAAATTACAAGTGTGGCTGGGGTTTTTGACCTCTTCAGTGGCAGCCACAGCTTGAATTTCATTAAGCCTCTTAAACTCCCTTGGGAAACAAGCGTCCTCTGAGGACATTTTGTTTTTCAGAGACTATAGCAGGTTCAGTTTTTAGAAAACTAGATAACCTAAGGCATCTTGTCTGGAACGAAGCCAAACATTGTTCCAATGTAAATTCTGGCAAGGGAAAAACTGGCACTGCCATATATTTTTTTTTTGCCCTTATACACTTAAAATACATACGTTTATTCAGACGTTTGGCTAGAAAGAAAATGACACACAAGGCTTAACTGCATCCTAAATGAATATTTAAGTTCCAAGATGTATATACCACTTCTATGAAACAAAATAATGTCTTTGTTAGAGAAGATGGATTGGAAGAAAGTGCTTATATAAATACAAATGCTCTATGTGCCTCTGTCACCAGGGACAAATAAAGGGATTGGAGTTCAATTGAATTCATAATCTTTTGTGGTAAGGCTATTGCCAAAAATACAGAAAACTAATCCTTTGAATAGATTTCATCAACATGTCAACTCTGAGTGCTTGTTGCTCTGCCTGCCTGTTTTAGATACTCTGTCAACAAATAAATCACTCTTTCCCACTAAGGCTTACATGTGTTATTTCAATGACACACTTAATGAAGATATAAAAAGTCCTTCACTCGAATTGAAAAACATGAGGAAGTGTGTTATGTACTGTATCTTTGTTTAATACAGTTTGCTTTAACCACACATCTGAAGTAATCTTGTTGCAACATAATTACACATCAACACTCCTTCAAAAGAGATACAGCTAGAGTTACTTCCTGACATATTTGATCACCACAAGTACAACTGGAGGATGGACTCGGAACAGCGCCAAAGTTGTTCCGACAAAATGCAGTCCATGACACCGTCTAAGGACTGCAAACAACTACGGATTTCTGTCTTTATAATCCAATGTGGTCAAACTTGGGCCTATTCGGTGAAGGGCCATAATAATGCCCAGTGAGATATCATATCCAGGTGGTTTTGTACATTTTCTGACTTTCTCATTGTGAATGACAAATAGATTAACACATTATTGCACTGAGCTACAGAGAGGAAGGAAGTGGGCTTCTGATACAGGGGATTTAGCACTTTGGAAAGCTCCTTATGCAGCCGCATTCAAAATGTCAACCAACCTGAGCTGAATCAAACTGCTTCAATGTATGGATTCATTTAGACTGTGTTCACTGGGTGAACTCCGGCTCATATTTGACAAGCTCGCCATAATGGATTTGACTTTGTGTGTGTAATAGTTCCGCAGGTTGACCGAGGGCACCTCTTTTATCCCCTCGTCGAAATCGCAGCTCCTCATTGCAATCTCCAGCTGTTTTTGTCTCTTGTAGAAAAGAGAAAATTTGTTGAAAATTTGTGTAATTGGAAGCACAACTACTAAGATCCCGGCCAGAATGCACGCAGAGGCTGTCAGCTTTCCCGCTATGGACAGCGGCACCACATCTCCGTACCCGACGGTGGTCATACTGACAGTGGCCCACCACCAGCACGCCGGGATGGTGGAGAGGTCCTCGCTGTCCTCTTTCTCCACTGTATAGGCCATGACAGAGAAAAACGAAACCCCGACGGCCAGGTAGAGCAGCAGCAGGCCCACCTCTTTGTAACTATTCCTGAGGGTGGACCCCAGGGAGCGGAGCCCCGTGGAGTGACGGGCCAGCTTCAAGATGCGGAAAATCCTCATCAGCCTTAACACCTGTGCAACACGTCCCAGGTTGGCCAGAGCCGGGCTGCTCTCCAACACAAGGTTTCTAAGGAGTGTCAGGTAAAACGGAAGTATGGACACCAGGTCGATTATATTTAACGGGTGCTCGAAGAAATGGCGAAGATCTGGCGCCACCATGAACCTAGCGACCAGTTCGAGGGTGAACCAGCCGATGCCAAAATGCTCCACAGTCTCGAAACAGGGGTCCTCTGTGGGTTGCCCATCACTGTCCAACAGGCTGTACTCGCTCATGCTGTTCATGCACATTGTGGCAATGGAGCCTAGCACCACCAGAATGGAGAGGATGCTGATGATGCGGCTGGCCACCGAGTAGCCAGGGTTATCCAGCATGAGCCACACGCGCCTCCGTGCGCCCCCGAGTAGCTGCTTGTCAAACTTGGTGGCGTCGCTATAAAACTCCAACAGATCGTCAAAAGAGGAAGTGGTGCTCCCTTCATCGCTCCTCTCATCCCAGTCCTCCCGGTCCTGGTCCATCTTCCTACAGTGGTAGGCACTGCTGCAGCAGGAGTCGATGAAGAACTCGTTGATGCCCCAGTACTCAATCTCCTGGCTGAAGGAGAATATGCACAGCTCAGCCATGACGTGCAGCCTCCCCGTGTTGTAGAAATTCAACACGTAGGGGAAAAGTGCGGGGTTTCTGTCAAAGTAGAACTCTCTCTCGGTGTCGTCGTAGTCGTCGCACAGCTCCAGGATGGACTCTTTAGACTGACATTGGAGTAAACGTGCAAGCCTCGTCTCGGGGAACCTGGATAGAGTATCGGACTGAAGACGCTTCTTGAAGCCGCCAACATTGATGCAGATGGCGGCGTTGTCATCCATGTGAGCCCTGCCGCCTGGTCTCCCCAGGGTCTGACCCGTCATGTCTGAGAAAGGGAAATATAGACGTAGATGACGTCAGAACAAAAAAGTTACAGACCAGATCATAATGAAACAAAGAGGAAGAGACAGGCAGCACAAAGAGAGGGGGGAGTTATTTCCAATGTTTTATTATGCTATGAATAAGTGCCACACTTGCTTGTAAGGTTTTACTCCGAAATGACAGAAAATGACACAAAGGTTTTGCCTTGAGACTTCTCTTTCAACTGTAAAAATAATAACTTACCTTAAAGCGGGGTCAGCTCACTAACTCCCACGAGTAAACTCTGCATTTTGACTGCTGTTCGTATCCAAGTTGTGGCCCTATTATAAACGCAGATCCATCTTCCCCCCTGGAGTCTCTGTCAACTGGAACAAACAGGAGGAAGTGTCTTCCAAAAGGAGTCGGTGCGATGTTAGGTATAATGTTACCCCCACACAGAAATACATTTACGGTCCACCACAAATATACCCGAAGGCTTGTTGTTGCTGGTAGTCCTTAAATCCTGCACCCGCCGGGTTTTACGTCTCCCTCGGTAACAGGTATCGGCTACATCTCTGACAGAGGAGTCCGGGAGCCAGAGGAGCTGAAACACGCCTTGCCGCTACTGGCTGCGCGGGGGAATTCCACTCTCTCTCTTTCTCCTTCTGTCTCTCTGTCTCTCTCTCTCTCTCAGTCTATCTGTCTCTCTCTCTCATTCTCTCTCTCTCCTTCTGTATCTCTCTCCTTCTCTCTCTCTTCCTTCTGTCTCGCTCTCTCTCTCTCTCCCTCTCCCCCCTCTGTCTCTCTTGCCCCCCTCTCTCCTCTCTTTATCTGTTGCTGCGCAGCAACACGTAGCTCTCCTCTGCTCCGCCCCCCCTCCATCATGCCGTTCCACTGAGGGGCGAGGCGCGGCACCGGGAGGAGAGGGAATCTGACACGACACAAGGGATGATAAGGGATGCATTTCCAGTGTAACTTTTAAATTACTGCTGTAGCCCCAAACCGTTAGTTACACAGCTCTACTGCACACTACAGTGACATGAATATGTACCAAACATACAATATTGCAATATCTTATCATTCAGGCCCGACACGATCCCAAGACAATACTGACTACGATGTACATGGTATTTTTGTAATTTGTAACGTAATCCATCGGATCACTGACCTGAGAATAGAATAGCCTTTAATGAAGATTTTAAGAGATTATTATACCGCTCTACTACTCCCTCTGCGAGTGGGACCCAGCAACCCCTCAACAAACAAGTTCCCCATCAATATCATTACAGCAGACAGTCTTGTTGCAGACTGAAAACTCTGCTGGTTTGCTTGTCCATTAAACCTATCAAAACATTTTTTAATACACTTTTACACTTACCCAGTCCGGTGTTGCAGTCCGGCGTTGCTAATAAGCCATAGCTAAATTAAATGTAATGTTATGTTTGTCATTATAATCCAAACTTAAGAGTCCTCTATGTTTAGGTTTTTAGAAAACACGTGGCCCATAGTTGTTCCCAAAGTGAATGCTTTAACACCAGGGGCCTCATTTATAAATGTGGCGTACGCTCAAAAGATGGGTACATGATGCGGTAAGCCAACACAGTCTCACTCCCTGATCGTCCAAGAGCGACGCTTGGTCAGGTCCTTTGGCGTGCAGTTGTGACGCACCGAGTCTCCTTCAGCTTCATAAACAAACGCAATGAGCTTTTAACTGATTGCAATGTATTCCCATCAGCGGCTGTATTTGACGCTCAGCCCTTATGAAACAAAAATATATTGTAATATATTGGTAAATATAATACAATATACTGGATCATACATTTCCATATATGGGAAAGTAGTCCTTATATTTTTAAATATATTGCAATATATGCATGGACCATGTATGGCTATATATTGATACATATAAAAAAAAAATATTGCAATGAAAACAAAAACTGCACTATACATTTGTATATGTAATAGTTTTATTGAAACACTCATTTATCTTTCATGAGTTACACAAGTTTACATAAAATTGAACAGATATTCATAAACAGTTATCTCACTTCGTTTTGTATAGTTACCCACTTTCTATATGAACATATGTTTGATGGTATATATTAAAAAAGTACAAATACTCCATTGTCCATTGAATGATGGAAAATAATATACAGTTTATAAATATATACAGACACACACATATATGCACGCATATATATATGCATATATGCACGCATATATATATATGCATATATATAAATATGCATATATATATGCATATATATATATATATGCACATATTTTTTCATTCTTGAATATACTATAATATACTTACTTCTTATTTCTATTTGTTTAATATATATGTTTATTTTGAAATTGGAAATAACCCAGTACTGAGATATTCTTGGAAATTAAATGAGAATCCATAAAACAGCTTGCGTTTGGATTCTGGTTACGGCCGACCGGCTATTTGGAGTGGAGTAAGCCCAAACAGTAATCGAATGCGCCAGTGGCTGACCTCCGTCTTCGCTAAACAAATATTTTGTATAACTCTCTAAAACGTGTTAACGTTCTCATTGGACACATTACGTGCCAGTGATCATCACCAATCAATCTCACAGATTTCGGGGAGGCCCCCCCCCTCTCCAGCAATAGAGTGATCTGATTGGCAGATTCAAATCTGCGTTGCCGCCTCTGTCTGTTGATGATGGCGCTGTCAAAGAGAAAGCATTCATCAGGTGCTTCAAAACGGAAAATTAAAAAGAAACGAGAGGAAAATACAGCACGAGAGTCAGGTATGTGTGTGAGCATTTAAAACTATTTTAAATTGAAATAATTCTGCATGTACACTACAAGTAGTCTAGTTGCTTAATCCGTATGTCCCGTCTCTCGGCACTACAACAGCTACATTAGCTAACGTTAGTTAAATTAGCTATGTTAGTTCCCTCGTATATAAGTGTATAACCGGTCCGCAGCTTTGTGAACATTCAATTTAGAAGATTTTCGATGTTACAGTCAACTGAAGTCGACCCAAAACAGCCAAAAATAACGGACCTTTAGATCGCTAACATTTTAGCATAAGTCAATGGAGTTTAACATAGCGGAAATTAGCCTCGCGGCTAACGGACATTTTCTGACTGGTGAAGATGATGAGCACAGTTTTTCTAAAATACTGGAAAAAATCTACTATACAAGACTAAATGACTTCATCACCAAACATAACATACTCTATGAACAACAATATGGTTTTAGAGCAAACGGAACCACATCATTTGCAGTTATAGAATTTATGGAACACATTACTAAGGCAATAGAAAAGAAAGAATATGCAATAGGGATATTTCTGGACCTTAACCTGTTACGCACCGCCCCCCCCGGTACCGGGCGGATAAACGCATCATTTGCAGGAAACAACGTTGAAGGAATCTTAATATTTAATAAACTATGAATGTTTTATATCCATGTAACGGGAAGAAACTCAGCTAACTGATCTTTTTTTTTTTTAAATAAAAAAAAAAAACACAATGCTAACACTCAGCCTCTGAATTAGCCACGAGCTAAAAAATGCTAACCTATCACTGCACCTAAACTCACTCATAACTCCCTTATTACTTATCCTAGATGCACAGCCAACCCATCGATTAGCATCGCCTGGAGACACAGAATCGTTCGGTGCCCACCTCAACCCTCAGTGATAAACATTCACACGCTATAAACGAAAACGTACATGAAAACATGTGGCGCTAGGTAGCTACAAACGCTAACATGGCTTACCTTGGTCAAAACTGGTCTTCAATGGCATTAAAACGATAAAAAACGATGCTGCAGTTAATCCATAGGTTAATCCAATGTGTCTGTGTCCTCTTTGAAATGATTTCTGATAATCCATAAGCAATAAAACTGCTTTTTCGTTTCCAGATGTCAGAGCGAGAGATCGCTTCACTCTGGTGCAAACCTGCATGCGCGAAGCCCCCACCGTTTGTTTTCACAACGAGTGTGTATGGGGGCATCCCCCTTCGATTCTCTTGGCTCTAACGGTCAGAAAGAGGTGTCAACCATCAAAATCGACCAAGGGGGGCCAGAGATATGAAAAAAAAAACATTTTCACCTCAGAGGTGGAGTGGTTTTGGCTAAACCTCTCTAAAAAGGTCAAATGTCACTTGTTTTGCATCAATCTTGATACAGGGTACTTATTATATGTTGTACTTTGGATTCCTAAAGCTTTTAGTCTACTAACCCATCATCCAAGGGTAGTTTTCACTATAAGTAAAAAAGAATTTTTGGACGGACATTTACAGTTTTTTACTATGTAAAATCTGAATTTTCTTTAAAATAAAAAACATCTATATTGATTCTGACTTTTCTACATCCAACTCACAGGTTTATCACTACTTTGAGAAAAAAGATTATTAATTTAACCCTTTTAGAAGGGAAGATATGGTCATTTGTTCTGGGAATGTCATTTTCGAGCCTGAGACCTGAAAAACAGGCTCAGAGCTTAACAGGTTAAAAAAGCATTTGACACGGTTGACCATGAATTATTAATAAAAAAACTACAGAGATATGGCATTAGAGGTGTTGCACTATCATGGCTATCCAGCTACCTACATAACAGGGAACAGTACGTTGAACTACTAAGCCATAAATCACAACTACTGCAGGTTACTTGTGGGGTGCCTCAGGGCTCAGTCTTGGGGCCATTACTATTTATTCTGTATATTAACAATATATGTGAAGTATCAAAAACTATTAAAACCATTCTTTTTGCAGACGACACAAGTCTACTCTGCTGTGGGGACAATTTAGAACAGCTATTGCTCACAATGGATAAGGAACTGAGCAGGATGAAGATCTGGTTTGACCAAAATTAATTAACATTGAACGCAAGCAAAACCAAACTCATAATATTTGGGAATCGATCGACCAATACAGAGAAGAAACTCACTATAAATGGCGTCCAACTATAAAGAGTATCGGAAAATCAAATTCCTTTGAGTAATCATAGACAATAAATTAAGTTGGAAACCACATATAAGTTATATCAAAGCCAAAATATCCAAATCAATAGCAATTCTGAATAAAGCCAAATACCTAATTAATCAAGCTTCCTTGTTTATGCTGTACTGCTCCTTCATACTTCCATACATGATGTATTGTGTGGAAGTTTGGGGGAACACATATAAAACAAATACACATCCTATCTTCATCCTGCAAAAAAAGAGCCATACGAGTTATACATAAAACTACGTACAGAGAACCAACAAATAAATTATTTATCAAACTAAAAACACTAAAACTACAAGACCTGAGGTCTGTACTACAAAGCCGGATTTTCGCTTAGCCGGCTGACTTCAGGGAAAACTCGGCTTTCCGGTCCTACGACGCTGGTTCTCTTTTTAGCGGGCTAGATCTCCATGGTAACTTATGCTGAGCGGCTAACCTCCTCGGGAGGAGGTTAGGTTGCAGGCTAAGAGATCAACTCAGTGAAAGCACCGCCTGCTGACCAATCAGAGCTCCGTGTGCAGAGTTTAAAGCTATCAAGTCATATTACAGGATAGAGGAAATACAGAAAAACTGCCGTTGCAGGAAAGACAGCCGGCAAAAATCAACTGACTGTGTGAACGTGAAAATTAATAGAATATCCCCTCCCATCTTCAGAGCAATCTGACTATTATAACATTAGCGTTAAGAAAGCTTACTTAAATATCTGCCACAACATAAGTAA